TAAACGCGACTCGACGTCGATGCAGCATATATATACACGTACGTTAATAAGGAAAGCAGGATTATATGGGACAGTAGAGGGGCCAGCACCACCCGTGTGTGGAATAGCTGGAGGTGGACGGATACGCGTGGGAGTCGCAGCAACGTCTGGAGCAGCAAAAGCAACACTACCCCAAAAACGAGTTGGCACAATAAGTACACTGCCACGGAGAGCATCCCAGTGCTCTCAGGCAAGAGAATGCTTCTTCGGTGAATCAGTTTGACTGGAGTCATGTACGAGCCATGGCAATCATTACTGTGGGCGATGCGGCCACTCTAACCGACCCAGGACAGCTGCCCCAGGTAGCCATATATGCCGCGTCCTGAATTGGCGTGGACGTTGCGCAGTTCGCGCAGTCACAATGTCTATCTTTACTCCGCATAGTAGAAAACTGCGCCTGTCCAAGCAGGCCTTGCAAGCCGCTGCTTCCGTGGGTGACTTTATCGGTTCTTCGGCCCAAACGCCAATAGCTCTATGAATAGCGCACAACGTTGCGTCAGAAGACCGATTCTGCAGAGGAGCATTAAACGACGCACAGCATGTTAAGTGGTGTCGCATATGTGAGAGCTCAGAGCTTATTATGAAAGCATTAGTGCTGTTGGGCTGTGTGCCCTTCAGGCAAACGCTAGGTAACCGTTAAGCTCCAGTCTACCAGAGTGTTGCTCTTCACGATACATTTGCTTGGAACCGAACTGCTTTAAATGAGCAGTATCATAGATAGCTATGGTGTTGAAATGGATTTCTCCGCATATACGCCATTAGCACCAGCTACCAGGTTACTCCATGCAGGCAAATTTCGATAATCCAAGGATCATTATCGTGGCCCGCCGCTATATGTTAATATAGCGGGTTCGCCCAAATGACTAGCCTGTTATTGCCAACGCCTGAAACTGCATGAATTACAGTGCTATACTATTATGGTCGCTGAGGAATCGCGGTAGCATGCTCCGAACGTGCTGTTCTGCGAGTTTTGGTGCTTGCACAGTGCTTCCTTTATCCTGTGACGACAGCGTCATGACACTCTCCTTGAAGTCTTTTGGGTTGCGCTTTTCATGAAAGTGTAGTGTCTACATCGGTGATGGAATACTGCTAGACGCTGCAGCGCTAGGGGTGCCTCCTCTGCCCGCACATGGGCGTTGCCAATACTATTGCCCTAAAGCCCTAATTTTTGTGTGTAGCTGTCTTCTGCCGCCTAGAAGTCTTACTATACACCGTACGCCCGACACGGCTGCGCAATAGAATTGAGTCCCGTACAAGTGCTCCATAGGATGAGCACTGCTGCAGACTGCAGCATTGTTGCGGCTGTCCAGTGTCCTGTTGTCTGTCCCAATGGCTTGTGCAGCTGGCGGCTCAGTATACTATACAAATCCGCAAAGACTACGCTACTGCAGAGTCCCGTCACATAAGCTGCACATGTACTGGGACGTCAGGAAAAGGAACTCAAGTCAGCTACCTCCATAAAAAGGTGGAGCGCTGGCACATGATACTTACAGGTGCTCCGTCGACTTTGTGTCACCTGTTAGCATCAAATGGTAGCACTCCGCTGCCTTTTTGCGCAAGTAGCTGACTTAGCTTTATTTGGTTCGTCGTCCATGTGCCTTGTTGGTCTATTCAGTTACCTTTTAAAATGAGTTTGTTCCAGCATTCCAACAGGAGGAATTTATTTAACTTCTTCTGTGGTGCTCCTGGGAGTCGCTTGGGCCGTGAAAACGAAGCACATAAGGTGAGCCAGCGACTTGCAACAAAAACGCAGTGGAGTGGTAGCATTCGTAAAATGGCCGATTCTGTACACTAACAACGTGCAGGATCCCTGAAGAATAAGGAATATGGCCAGGTCATCGAACGCATTGGATACCAGTGGTTTACCACTGAAATCCATAGGTCCACAGCTTCCAGTGTTCGAAAAACCGCCTAGGCTGTGCTTCAGATGAAGACACTTCCACACCAACGACGGTGGTGAACTCTGTTGGTCCGACGCGAGAGACAGCTGACTGTCTGCCTGCCTTGTCAAATCGCACAACGCAGCTTCTTCCTCCATCACCTAGAGATCTGCGCCGCAGTTCCTAAATGAGATTTTACCAGACACCCTAATCATTTGATCTTATTCGACAGAATGCTCTGCGCATTGTGTACAAGCAGCATGAGTTGTTCGCGTGTCGTTGCCTCACATTCATTCACAGCCTGGAGCATGGCATCGAAATGGAGAAAACATCCATGCGCTTTCACTTCGCGCACAAATGACACAGGGATCATGCACCCGGAGCCTGGGAAGAGACACAGTTTCACAGGTGGAGCGTAGCAAACTGTCGCTCTTGTATTTCGCTTTCATGTGCTTCCTTCATTTGCATGACAGTGGAGAGCACGCTCAAAAAGCTAATGCGCGATAATATTCAGAAGTTATTCGGGTAAAGGAAAAGTCTAAAGACAGGAGAGTTGGTATGTACCGCAGATGCGACGAACACATTCGCTTTCTTCGCTGCAAGCGCTGTCGGAGGTGATTTGTCAACTGCTGGCTGCTCTCTAGCCCTAAGAAGCGCTCTCAAGGATATGCAAGCATCACAGATACCTAATTCTTTGAACGGCATGCCGATGCGAAGAGGGCCCGGGTTCCTTGGAGCTTGAAGTACTGGGATGCTAGCTGCTGTTAAGGGGGGGAAGAAACTGACTGCTTTTACCAGGTCGCTGGATGCAGCGAACGAGTTCAAGCGGCGTTTGATGCGCTACTGCAAATCAGATCATGCTTCGCCAAATTTAGAACATGCGTGGTGTCAGTGGTAAGGGCGTCTTACAGGGGCTAAGCAACAGGTCTTTACCTGCTGGCATGAAAGACCGAACTATTTCGCCAGGAAAACCTAGCTGAAATTTAGGAATGCCAGCAATCGCAAGGCGAGGATCTGTGGGAGCTTCAGCCCGTTGAACGTTGTCCCGTCTGCAAACCAGAGCACTCCAGGTTAACGCCATAGACAGAAGAGTCTGGTCTATGGCGTTAACCTGGAATGCTAAGGGGTTGTGATTGTAACCTATGAGCGCTGTTCGTGGATGGTAATATTTAGCCAATATCAACCAGCGTTGCACTCGCTGTCAGGCACCTTCGAGAAGTATTTGCATGCCTGAAGAACACTGTGTGGACCTGAAGCTCAGGGTTTCTAAAGTGCCCCGGCATCGCATTCTTATTTGGACGCAAGCAATTTTTGTTCTTCCCTATAATGCACTCTGGTTACAAGGTGACTGTGTGCGCGATATACTGCGGGGAGTGCTGCTGGGTGTGCCTTGTGATATTAACTGGCTTGCCGGTGAGTCACGCAGCGGCAGTGCGACCCCGGCATTTCACTGTACTCGAAAGTGACCTTCCGAAAGATGCGAGGAAAGCAGAAATAAAGCTCCTATTCGTTTCGATCTCAGAATTGTAGCATGGGTGCCATGCATCCACGTGGAGGGCTCTCACGAAGTATTGCTCAGCAGACGAAGAGGATGGGAGAATTCTGCTGTTCCTGGTGGAACGATCTAGGACAGCCGTTCATTCACGAAAATAAGGAACGACATCGCAGGATATTTTAAAATGTACTGTGACAGCTTTCGATTTTTTCCGCTTCCAGACTGTTTCAAGCAGCAAGCATGCCGCACGATAATCTTGCACGCTGTATATGCCTCTCTTCCACGCTCTTGAGGTAGTCTCCACCTGTGCATTCCTCATTTGCTGCATTTATATGGTGCAGTCTGGCATATCACTGCATTCACCGCTGTTTCTGGACTTCAGTCTTGATTTCAACGTGTAAAAGCAAGGGTCCAAAATGTATACTTATTGCAAGAAAAAGTGCCGTTTCTCCATCTGCGGATGGTAATGTCAATCTGTGCCTCTGATCTGCTTGAGGTTTTTTCTTTCAGCAGAAAGGAGGTCCCTTATAGTGCTGATCGCGCACGGAGGTAGCAGGTTCACTGCGGCAACGCTGCGGCACATCCTTGCACATATTGTACTGAACAGCAGGCCTGCACTGTTACTACGTATGGTCCCTGGGCTAGTCTGACTTAAGTGCACACTCTGCACCTGCTGTCTAAAGTCCATGATCCTCGCCAACCACTACTGTATACCATAAATAGCCATATGCAATTGAGTTCATATTATTGAAAGGTAAGAAAAACCCAAAATAATAGAACTGACTGTTGACCCTCGCTGAGGGTCAGTGCCTGAGTCACGGCAACAACCTCGCATCCAGCCCCATACCCGGTGCTGGCTAGCGAGCACACTATTCCCTTTTATGATTTCCCAATATCCAATGGTGCATTATGCGTTAAAATATTCTATATTATTCATGCCCTTTCGCGTTACTAAGCCTCGAGGGGTGGCGACGAAGGTCAATTGTAGTGCCTGGCACTACATATATCCTAGAACTGGCCCTGATGCAACGGAAAGAGGCCGCCGTCTCGAAAGAAAATAGCTGTCGGCATATCAGGTGGAGAGTGAGCTCTCATTCTTAGAATTGAATGTCTGTAGATCCATCTTCAGAAGTTTTTTGGATGATGGTGGCAAAGGCTTTCCCTGATGATGTTGTTATCTGAACTCCAGTGCGCATAATCTGCGGACTAATCTCCGCGTGAAATATACTACTGCATCGTTCTGATCCTAGCGACTGTGATATTGTAGGCACTTGGGCTGCTCATGTCTACTTTGAAAGCTGCAGCGCATTAATAGCATCTTGCTGGCATTCGCTTCTACTTGGCGCCTTAGGTGGTCAAGCGGCATGTGATGTATCGCCAGTCGATGATTATCTGAAAACACTTTTTCGAAAACAAAATGCAAGTCGTGACAATGCCAGATGTATTAGCGTTGACACATGTACATTTCTCAGAAACAGCTTGACAAATATAACCGCCCGTAAGCGGAGAGAAATGCGGAAATACTTCTTCTCATTAGGTAGATTGTACTGCTCAGCAGTGAAGGCTGCATGAATCCATGAGACGATTCAAGCTCTCCCGGCTCTTTCAGCGTCAGTAGCGGTACTCGAGTATCCAGAAGAGTTCCTCAGTAAGTAGAATGCGATGGCGGCCAGTGGGTCATCAGGTCGCTCTCTTGCGACAATTTCCAGTGCAGGGTACAGAACAGGCACTACTGTTTCCATGAGGTAGTCTACATCTGGCACCACAACGGAAGAGTTCTTGCCAGTGAGCCCGTGATCTCTGCTAGATGGTTTAAGAGTTCCTGCAGAAGTCTGTTCTTCTCCGCAGGCGTTTTCCACGGTTTTCTGTGGGTTGTTTAACAAGGCAGTTGCCTCATCGGGAGACGAATTAGTATTGCAGCCTGACTGCCTTTCGCTCTGAAACGCGCTAGCAGTTGCTAACTGCGAACGCTTTGTCTCACAGAGTGCAACCGCTGTCACCAGGCAATCTGAACATGCTATGAAGTCCCACTGGCTGGGAGAGATGCGAGATGCGACAACCCCAAATTCGAGCCTTCCTCTTGTGTGTGCTGCTTCGATCGATAAGTACGGAATCCCTTTCGCAGCCGGCCACGGAATTGATTCAAGCGGAATAGGTTTCTCAGCTAACACATCAACTGGAACAAGGGTGTGGATGTACACCACACCATCAAGGACTGTGGGAATTCCTGGGGAAGAAAGACAGATATGATGGTGCGTAAAGTCTTGTCCATCCACCAGCACATTCAGAGGAAAGGTTATTGAAATATTTTCTAGTTCCGCGGAAGAGTAGGAGAAGGTCTCAGCGCAATCGTCCTGATTTTCTGTTTCCGCAGGCACTTCGGTGTTTACAACATCGGTGCTCTCTGGTTCGTTTGTCGGCATCCCCAGAATTCGCAGCGAAGTGGGAAGTTTAACAGCATGGTGGATAATGCATACAGCCCTGTGTTCTTCCAGAATCTGGTAAAGGAGGCCGGCAAATAACTGTGGAGTGCCTTTGTAGGACCTACCAGCCCCAGGAAACACTAGAAATTGTGGTAGGGTTGAACTAGGACAATGCTGTTGTATTGCTACTTCACTCTTTGACACGGTAAAATAAATGTTGCCAATTGCAGTTTCTGAAATCCTAAGATCAGGACTGCCGTGGGTTCCATCGAGAAACACCTGAATCACCATACAAGCGTAAACCCACCAAGCCATTGTAAAATTTTGTTTACACGACTGGTTGCTTTACTTCTTTTCCACAAGCTATACAGTACTTCAGTTTCTTCCGCGTTTATTGAAATACCTGCTTCGTTCGATTCTCTCCGTTAAATGCTGGGTGCTTTCCTTCGCAGAGCATGTTGAATTCGTTGAGAAAACCTTGGAGAGCTCGACTAGCTAGGGAACGACGCGTGTGAAAGACTAAACGAAAGGCTCTCCGAGATTTGACCAGGCTAAAAATCAGGCTAAGAAAGCTGGGAGCTATTCCCCAATAGCCGCTTTCAAGTTGCGTCGAAAGCTTTGATGAAGCCTCCTGTGGATTGCAGCCTCCATTCAGATCCTTGCAAGGACTCTCTGGTGGTAACTCATTAGAAGCACCCGCGTCGGATACCTGAATAGCCTGTATATACGCACTTTGCCAATCGCGCTGACTTCTCGCACCCTTAGGTCATTTGTATGAGGCATGAGATAGATGAAACTCTTGTACTCTACATGTAATGCGGGCTTACAGCATCTTCCTCAAAGCCGAGTACCCTCTTCAGTTCAGGAGCTTCGCATCCGAGAGCCATGCATACTGCTGGTGGCAGCATTAGGCGCCGCAGCGCCGTCCGGTAAGCTTCACGAAGTTTCGTGTGAGCATCTGTTGTGTCCGTGCCGCCTGCAGAGCTTTTGCCCCTCAATACCCTTCGCTTCGTTCCCCCAGAGCTACCGAATGCATGCAGGCGCTGACATACTTCTTCCACCTGGTAAGAACACAGTTGGGATGAACACGCAAGGGTGCATAAATTTACATAGTATGATTGTGTTAGGGAAGCTCCAGAACGCCTTCGTAACCGTTACACTAAGACTTGCAGGCTTCTGATTCTGTCGCTTGCCATGTGGGAACCGTGAATAAAGCATCAATACTCAAACTGATCAAAGCTTGCATCTGCATTCAATCTTGCGGAATTCTTGTAGCGAAGGCGCAAGTACTCTCCAAATGTTAAAGCCTCTTCCTCCGGCTGCACGGCATTTCCAAGTCCCTGTGGTGGAAACAAAGTCGCTCACCATAACGGTATATCAACAAGCCAGAATAGGACTTTTCACCCGTAGTCAGCTTTGTGAAAAGCTCCTCTGTGGTTATGCTAAGCGTCCGTATCGTCTAAGAATAACCTACAGGCAGCCATTCTCCTGAGGATGGATTCACCGTTCCCCACGTCGCGTCTGCCAGAATGTGCGAAATAAAGCGCGAAGCTGATACCCCAAGAAAGTCCCCACTTGTTGTTCCCCCAACATCTTTTGCATACCTAGATGATATGATTACCGCATTGTCAAGGTCCACGTTAAGTACAAGAACTGGTATCTGCTCTTGATTTGTTAGGTATTGGCCGCTAGGAAGGCTATTAGCCCCTTGGTTAAGACCGTGACTATCTTTATCCTGTTTCATCTTTCAGAGAGGTCCAGTTCAATATATCACTGCCATAGTGAGATATTTCATCCGCGCATGACGGGTATAATGACAAGCATCTACAGCTCAAGCTAGTGCGTATCTGCTTAGAGCTCCACTGTGCATTTTTAAAAGAGGTGAACAAACTTTTCGAAATCATGTATCAATAGAATGATGTCGAGTTCGTTAGTACAAAAGATTCCGGTCCAGGGCCTCTGTGGGGCTGCATGCACGCTGATCGGAGTGATTTAGGGCGACTCTTAGTACGGCAAAGCATAACCACACTTTGCCCGGCGAAAAAAAATCAAGAATCATCAGTGAAGGCGGGCTCTGTTGAGGGCAGCAGGCTTTGAAAACTAGAAGTATTCAGAGCAAGCAAGGCGTGAACCAGCTTACCTCACGATGAACGAGCCTTAACGCCTTGCGGAGCTCTGGCTTCTGGCACCACTAGATACCAACAGCAAATGCCTTATACCAACAGCGAATGCCTTTGTAGAGGTGTAATGATGCCGGCTGCGTAAACTGTGCTAGAAAATGAGTCTATTGTCACCCTTCGCTCGTGCAGTGCCACATAGGGAACGTTTGCAAGGTCATTAGGTCATGGGACCGTTAGGACCGGTTGCAGCCGCGACCAGCGAAATAGGTGAAAAGGGATACCAGCCAAAAAACCAATTCTGTTCGGCATAGCGCATATGTCGAAACCTCATACAAAACACCAAGCTGCAGACCTGGCCTGAACCCTGTTTGTCGACACACACACGGTTGAACGCCTGTTGAATTTCTTTATCCACGGATGACTGTGCCTTGGAACGTCACATTCTTTCTCTGAAGTCCTCATGTGGAGCTCTATTGCTTCTTAATAATGCAGGGCAGAAAGAATTTGTCCCGTACCCAGTTCCGAGGTGCAAAACACACGCAATGGAGTGGAAAGAAGTTCTTTCTGTGCATTTACTAATCTTGGTTCAGCGCTGAAGCTCATGCACTACACATATACAGCGCCAACAAAAGTTCCGGATGCTCAGTTGGTGTTGTAGTACAAATCAAGCAATTCTCCAAACGTTTTTTATTGCCCTAAATAAATATGCCGAAAGTTCTTGCAATGGAATCAGCAGAGTTATATAGAGACAGACGACTCAGTGATTCGCTCACACTGCTTATTATGTAGCAACACGGTGACACAAAAGCGCCGAAACGACCGGCTAGCAAGTGGGCCATTGACAGCATGTGCTTTTCTAAGCTTCTAAACAATGTTTAAAAGTGAAGGCTGTAGTTGCGTACGCAATCCCTAGATAAATAACGATTTCCCAACAGCATAGCAGGGCTGATTAGGTGGCACTGCCGCAAACTAACTAAGAATATGCCTAGACGCATAAGACAACCGCAAATATGCAAAGCAGTTGCGTTTTTTTATCCTCTGAACTATTCAGTTGGGCAAATTTAATCTTCCCCATTCTCTAAAATATAGAGCTCAAGTCAGTGACGTTTCTGCTATAAGGCGTGATGCAGAACAGAGTTTTTTAGTTTCGTTGAAAAATAGCACATAGCAGCGGTAGAAAATAGCGATATCCTGGGACCACTTCCAAAAGGCAGAATGCTGCCTCTGAACTTCCAGCCTCTAATACGAAGAGATGTGCAAGGAGGCGAACTGCTCGAAGCGACTTTCCAGTGCTCGGTTCTATTCCAGCTCACTCGTCAACAGGATATCAACTTTTTTGATAGAGGCGCTGCCGACGGTGAAGTATACTGTTGCACGAAAAGGTATTTTTCACTCAAGAGAAAAAATGTGCTGGCAGTTGCTGACAGTGGTGGCAACGGTGACGGCATCGTGCACATCTGGACTCCACTGAATGCCTGCATGCTGCATGTAGCTTAAGATCTGCGATACTTCAGGAATTCACTGTGGAGCTGAGAGTTCAGCGTTTCAAAACTAGCAGCAGAACCTGGGGAAGAAGTGAATGGTAGGGGGTAAGTCGGGAAGGAGAACTATTACACAATTCGGGACCTTCGACGGGCTCGATTGTTGGAAAGCACAGCATGATGCTTTCGCAGGCCAACAATCGAAGATAAAACAAGCGATAGTGGAAGCATTGGAGACGATGGCATATGTATTTACCTATTTGCGCTTTGATTGAACACTTTCGACGAGCTCCACACTATGAGGAAGCTGAACGGAAAGACTGAATCCACACATTAACGCTTCAGCGAGAGTCCCGTTGGGTTCACAGAACCCTTTTCGGGCACAGAGTTTCGTCTCCTCTCGCCTACTGAATAAATAATGGGGGACCTTTTTGCCTTACCGAAAGTCTGACAAAGGCGGTTCAAAAATTCTCATAGTGCAAATTCGTGCTGTATCTTTTAGTACTGTCGTGTGATAAACTTGCAGTGCATATATCGGGGTTTGGAAATAATCTCTTTGAAACGGTTGTGAAGGCGGCGGAATTGGCTTGCTTGCCTAACGGCGCGCTTCTGGCAACGCCGGCGTCTTAAAGCGTAAACCCCGCCTGAATCCCAAAAGGGAAATAGGACGTACATACAATTTGTAGAGTAGTATTTACTGACAGCGCTAAGTCCATTGAACGATTCGCACGTGTTATGCTCGTCAGATAAGTCATTGGCACACCACGACAGCATTTGTGGCTCATAAATCTACAAAGAGCATATCGCTAAAAATTTTTAGAAATTCTAGGCAGTGGCACCGCCCTTTTCCTAAAGTGTCCTGTTCCTACACTATTCTAGGCGTACATCACCGGTGTTACTGGTGCAATGTGTTTGCAGTGTGTACCCGCAGTAGCTTTGGTTTACGAATACTTTTAGAGTTAGGCACACAGCTGCTACTAGGTTTATATGCACTTTGCGAGCACCCTTGCCATGAATAGAGTAACTGACGCATATACTCAAAACCGTGCATCTGGAGTCTAAACTCCGCGCACAACTCGCGCACAACTCCGCGCACTCCATCTGCGTATCCTAGGCAGCTGGTGATTTTGACCTTTAGAAAAAGCACCGTCACGTATATGTCTTTGCCAAAGCCCTACACAGTATGTAGATGAGCTTTCCCTTTGAACTTGGCTAAAATGCCTTGCGACCGCCTCCTGTGCACTGCATCGACTCTCCGCCGAGTCTAGTGCTTCACTCGTTATCTTGTTCTTTAAGAAAAACGACGATAGAGTCAACGTGAATATATGGGCACAATCGGGATAAACAAGCGACCCACCCACACACGATGCAAACATACTGCTGAGCCTCGCTAGAGACCGCCAGGCCAAGGAATTTTTTCATCAACTTGATTCAGTACTACTACACGCAGCTGAATATACAAACAAAAAAAGGGAAGGAATACACAGGGGGAAGGAAACTCAGCTGAACCACTGGTGTGTCTTCCTTAGGAGTTTCATGGATACCCTCCATCTGGGGAAAGACGCGCTGTGTCTGTGTCCCCAGCAGCGTCAGACACTTGGTGTAACACGCGTAAATAAGAACATCAAGTGAAGCCTTTTGAATTTCAACTTAATATGCAGTGGAGCCTGACTGACTGACGACGCCTCCAGATCTTGCACGGGGCGAACACACTCGTCACACTACACATCTTGCACACCGATGCATCTAGCCGAACCAGTGCAACGCTCTTTGGCCGCTCCCTAGTTGTATGATTGTATTAGCGCCACTTAGAGCTTGAGGTTGTACGCTTTTCGACAACTGGAGATATCAACAAATCCGAACAAGGTGAAGTGGTGCGTTGATGCGTGAGGCGGGACATTGCAGTGACAAGGGAAACTACATCAGAAGAATCACTGCCAGACGAAGGCATGCGTGTGACTGCAACGAGCTCTTAGAAATAACGTAGGCGTTCTCTTCTATATGGAATCGAGGCGGGCTTCGATGGATCCTTCTAGCAGCCCTACCGCCAGCCGTAGTGAAGGCTCTGATGCAGAGGCTACTACGGAACGATCTGTAGGTGATAGCCAATGGCGGTCTTTTTGATTCAGATCTAGCAATAATTTGTTGTTGCTACTTCTTCTAGCCCAGTGCGTAGAACACCTCAGCCTGACAGCGGGTATGCGCCCGATGATGCCTGCGTGAGGATGACGAGACCACTTTCTCTTGTGCACTTTCGAGTGTGGAGCGACCCTTTTGTAACAGGAAGAAGAGAGAAACGACGAAACTGCCAGCAACTCATCCGAAAATTCACAACAACAGGCACAGGAAGCACAGCACGGACAGGAACTAGGTAGGGACCAGGCGGCAGAGCTTGCTGAAAACGAAGTGCACACGGGGGAGGCAGATCAACAGGCGCAGCAGGATCAAAATGGGCCAGCCCAGAGCCGGCCTAGTCACAGTGGCTCCGCGGGAGTCTTGCCGGAGGAACTCGAAGTGCGAGAGACGTCACCTGTTGCACACGAGAATGAGGTGCATGTCAATGAGCAGCAGCTTCAGTGTTTTAGAGGCTCAGACTCATCTGAGGAACAGCGCGAGGCTGAGACAAGAGGACAATTGCCGCTTAGTGAGCAGCAGCCTCAATACTCTAGTGGCACGGGTCCGCTGGAGGAGCCGGAGGCTGATCAGAGGGGACAGCCGTTGCTAACTGATCAGCAAGTGGACTCGATGCAGTATTCTGCGGAACATCACCAGACCGAATCGCAGGGAGTTAAGCTGAATGAGGAGGTGCCGCAAGGCGAATCTCCACGCAGCATGCAGCTGGATCGAGGTGATGGGGTGTCACAAGAAGCCGAAGTCACTCTTGACAAGAGAGGGTCAGCGCAGAATTTGCAACCACTTTTGGAAGAGCAGAACCATGCAGCGGGTGATTCACAAGAGGGCGAGCAAGTGTTGCAGCAGCAGCAGAGTGTGGTGGCGGAAGAGTCTGCGCCTCAAGAAGAGCAGCTGGGAGGGGGGGAACAAACGCTGGAGTCGATTAACAACTTAGAGGGGGAAGTACAGCTCGATGAACAGGTCAATGAAGCTGTAGAGCAAAAGCTACGGCAGCAGAAGGGTGACCAGGACGATGCAGTCCAGAAGAGTCCCCAAAAGCGGCATTCATCCTTAGGGGAGAATCCTCAACATGATGTAAGTATTCCTAAGGACCAGCCTGAAGCTGATGGTACTGCAGTTGACCCGAAGGACGTTACGGTGAAAGTTGTGGATTCCCATAGCAGGGCGCATCGACAAAAATCTACGAAACATAGCAAGAAGCAGCCAGTGCCTAGTTCAGTGGCTGAGCCGGCTCCTGCAGATACAGAAAAACCCAGGGTGCCAGCAAAGCGACCAACAGAACTTTTGTTTGATGCCAAGACCGCTAATGCCCTTCAAAGCCTCTGCGCGCTGCCAGTGAGCTTGATTAGTGATGAATAGATACATCCCAAATAAAGTCTGCCACTACGATTGTACCTTTCAGAACAATGCCCAAGTGAAGATGTTTGCTGCTGTCGCTGCGGTCTTGTGTTCTCAGCAGCAGGTGCTCAGTCCGTCTTCCCCTACAAAGCCCGCAGATACCAAGGAGCTTCAGGAGCTTGAACAATGCTTTTATTTTGAAGATGACGCAGTTCAGACCGAAGCACTAGAAAGTCCGATAATCAAACGCAATATTCGTGACATTCACGGCTTTTGCACAACTGAAGTTGAAGACTGCTTGCGAAACGCCTGCTCCTTGCACTTTGAATGTGATTACAGGGACATAATTCTCTTTTGTCGGTACTCTGCAACCTGAATTGCCAGCTCACTCGTCTATGGGTCGCCTACAAACTTCAGTGAAACTGGGCCGTGAAACCACAAGTTTAGTGTGGCTAGTGCTGCTTTGCCTTGTTCAGAGGAACGTGCTGATAGACTGCAGCGTGTAGAATCCCTTAGAACAGTTGCAATAATACGGCAAAATATTACAACTGAAAAAGCCCTTCGGGATATTCAGGTCAGCCATTTTCGCATTCAGCACATATCTCCTGCAGTACTTTCCAGGCATCTGGATGGCCAAGTACTTTCACCAACTCACGTTATTTTCCCGTGTACATTTGTTACGGAGCATTCCAAATGGACAATCTCTTGAGGTGTTTCAGGAGGCGTTGTCAAATGAAGAAGTTGTGGTCGGGTTTGCTGATGAAGTGCCAGAAAGTAGAGGCCGTTTGAATGGAGAGTCAGGGGAGTTTGAGAAACAGCAGAAACAGCGCTTACAGTGTCAGACAGACCGTCTTCGTCAAGAGGCGCAAAACATAAGAGACAGGGTCATTGGACAGGTTAAAAGGAAGCAAGCGCAATTCAAGGAAAGTAGAAAACAGGCTGCGCGTTTGCATAAAGAAAGGAAGGCAAGCCATACGCGCTGGATATGCTACAGAGTGTGACATGCAGCTCGTTATTAACAATGCAGACTGTACGGGGCATCGGCGTGTAACTGAAGGCGCAGCAGTCTCAAGCACGCTGCCGAATTGTATAGGTAGATTTTCCGACTTTTTCCTCCTACAAAGGGTTTTGCGGCTTGTAGCGCTACAGGCAGAGATGCTGCAGACTTTGAAATCATTCCATTTACGCCTGGAGGCAATTTTACAGCACCGCCGGCTGGAGTTGCTAGGCTCCTATGGGTTCTTGAAGCGAGACTTCAATGCAACGAATTACTCGATTAGATCGAAGATTCCTAAAGCAGCGAGCACTGCTCTTGGCTTTAAACGTAAAATAACATGGCATACTCCTTCAAAAAGACGCTTACCAGCAACAAAGTCCTCGAGGACTTTGGCAGCGTGCTTCCGCTAAGGCTCATTGGGTGTCCCTATATTTGTGTTTCAAGGAGGTGTCGAAGGTCACTACTGGAAGCATGTTCCACAGACGCTGCGCCTGCGCCTTGACATGTGCCGGGCGGTAAAAGACGGAGTCCCCAGGGGACAATACGTAATGATGGCTTCGGTGTGGAATAGGCTTGGTAAGCGGTGTGCAAGGTCCACAAATTGGCAATTGTAGAAGTTGCTGTACGGGTGCAAAGGGAAAACGATGAAGACAGGGAACAACCACACACAAGCCTTAACTTTCAGTCGAATGCTGTAAGTAAGACCACAATCAAAGAACTCCGTCCTCTACGATGAATTCGTGCTAGGTGGCCACAGGCTGGTCTGGACCTCTCTCAACCAGGAACTCGCATCTCAAGAAGAAAGGGGACAGAACGATGAAGCTGACGGCTCCCCAGGGAGCATTGAAGGAGCTCTGGCTACAGGGTCGTGCGCTGTGTCTGCACCAGTGGCTTTTGCAGCGATGTACTTCAGTGAATGCCTGAGGTGAGTATGCTGAGATGCACAATAAATTGTTCATCAAGTATGCAGTAAAGGCCTATAGATGCTGAAAAAACCGAATTCTGAATGAATGTGGTGACTTTGAGAGCCTCCGTAAACTCTCATTCGTTGGGATAGCGTCTTACCTGTTGAATGAGCTACGAGACTGGAGTAGCATTCACCGACAGTCGGTAGCTATAGTGGAAGGACTCGAGAATACGTTTAAACTTCTGGGGCCAAAAAAAGCATGGTTTAGCTGCTGCTTCGCAAGACACTTCGTGACAGCCATCTACAACTGGTGCGTCATATCCATTTTGCTTGTGAATATTCAACTTTAGGTTTGACGAGACACTGTATTTAAACTGCCCTTCCGAGACCGACGTCACGCCGTCAATGTGCCTGGTTTTTCAACTTTACCTACTTCGAGGTGCAGTGTCTCCCGTAGACAAGGTAGGCAGCAAATGGGGGCTCGCTTGCGATGACTAGCACATGAATACAATGCGCAGTACCCTATAATCGAATAAGGCGAGTTCCAAACCGTGTAATCATAATTGAAAAGCGAGTTTGCGCATAGCGTTGTTCATGGATTTTCCTGGCCATCTCGTTACCACTTTTCGCGCGGCAACTCGTTATTCTTTGGAGTGCATTTAAACTCCAGGTTGTGGCTTGGGGAGCGTTTCCTTTGGTTGACCCAGAATGGCGCGTGGTTGAAGGGTCATTTAAGGTGCGTCAGATGTCTAAAATAGGTAGGCTTCTTCCGCAGAGCGTTTTTACTGATATATTCTAAGTAACGGCTACCTTACAGATGGTAATGACTGTGATATATTTTAAGTAATGGCTACCTTACCGACGGTAATGACTGTGGCATGATATATGAGGACTACTAAAAGTATCTGTTGCTTACTTGCAGGTGCCACTGTTTCTGGGGGAAGTGGATACATCTGTCCAACGATATCTCGACATGGAGGAAATTTTGCGCACGCAGCTAGATAAGTGGCTTTGCAACCTTTATTTTCGTGTTGTTCGCGTGCCAAAAGAGTTAGATGGCCTCCAAGAGTTCGAACTGCCTCTTCACTACACCGGACAGATGCTGAACATTCCAGATGAACTGCCTCTTTCCACGAAAAGCCACCCGACGTATTCTATTCGCAGCAGCCAGAGCAGCAGGGGTAGTCGAAACAGCAGCTCTGGTAAAATGACCTGTGATTCGTTTGCAAAGCAGAACGCAGTACTTTGTTAATATTGCGCCGAAGTGACGATAACCAGTAGGCAGGCAGTATATCGGTGCCGCCGCGTGGACAGCAGTTATACGTTGCTTTGTGCATGTACGTTATGCTGTTTCTCAGTCAGTGCCTCGGCTCAGCGGATTCTGCGAAGCATGCTGCTGCCCAGAGACACTGTTGACGGTATATATATATATTTATTCGCGGAACAGTTTCCTATATACACTGTTGACCGTCTACCTGTGCATGAAAGATTGAACTGAACCATGGCAGAAACGCATCGGCTTTATTCAAAATGTCATGCCACCGTCTCTAACAAGCCGTGCGCCCCTTCGCAGAAAAGCAACTCAGGCTGCATACTTAGGAATATTGCCAAGGAGTGCCAGAATGACCTCTGCCTGCAGGGCTTGACCAATCTGAAGATGAACGACAAATACGCCATCGCACACTCAGCTATGGGACGCAACCCTTCGCGAGAGTAACCGAACAAGATTTAGCCTCCTACCAGTATTCAGGTGGGAACAATGCCTAAGCTGCTTTTATTCCTGATAGGAGGAGGAGCAAAACGGACCATTGAAACTAAGGTTCTCAAGCAAATGCATGATATGCTGCTTTTGCAGTGATATCTGAGCAAACGTTGCTCCACAGAGGTGCAACTAAAAGGAAATTGTGGCACATGTGGACTGAGCTTTTTGATGAATATTCGGTTTCGGCGGACATGAGGGAAATCAGTAAGGCGATGTAACTGCTTTGAGAAGGAACACTGACGCCTGCATGCAAGAGAAGCCAGTTTGAAGGCAGTCATTTTTGTTGTGCTTTTAGGTTTAATGGGCGCTGCCCTTTTATTTGCGTTGGGTTCATTATGGTTCGCCGTCTTCGTCGCCATGTTTGGCTCGTGGGTTACACTAAAGGCTTGTAGCATTCCAGTTTACAGCGCCGAGATTACAGGACTCTATATCCGATTTGGTTATGTTCAGGTGTGGAAAAACGCATTAACGCTTGAGCGGAATGTTTTACAGCAATTGTCTAGATGGTCTTTGTATCACCGAAAGTATCCGTTAGACAGCTCCTCGCAATAAATTTTAGACAATTTAATTTTCGTAGAACATCAGCCGGCCTTGAACGACGCCTACTTCTCCAGTATGTATATTTCAAGCGACGCTGCGTGTAGCAAGCTGCCCAAACGATAGTGTTGCCCTCGCACAATCGCAGCCTAGTACGTTGGGTTTTTTTGCCTTCCGCAGGAGTTGCTGTCATTAGGGGCTGCGACGGCTTTTGCAGGAAGTGGATTCGTAGCAGCCCTTTTGGTGTTCGCATTGTTATGCTCTGTCGCCCACTGGGCTCACTGCTCTATTGGACGTTTACCAAACGCAGGTGCGGCTTGCTGACACTTACTGCTCTTCTTTCCAAATTTCCAGCCGCAATACAGACGAATCCAAGCCTGAACAACTTGTCAAAGGCCCGTATGTAACCTGGCCGCCAGCACCAGAAAATATCAGTCCCTGGGTCTTTTTGCTCAGCATATCGTTTCATGGCTCCTCTTGGGGTTTGGGTTACCGTCCTTCCTGTACTTTTGGCCATTATAGAGGCGATCGGAGGGGAATGGTCTGGGGTGACGTTTGCTCTATACAACTACGTTGAAAGGGAATTCGCTTCAGGTGCCACAGGGGTTGGTTTGACTCTTCTCATGGACATCGCGTTCATGGCTCTAAGCTCGGTGGTAGGAACAACAAAGCACAAAATAACGCTTTCACTGTTTTTATTCTCTATTTAGTGACGAATTCAAGTTGATTTGATAATTGTTTTTTTTACCTGGTGCCGTGCGGCATACAAGATGAGGCACGCAACGAAAACAAAGGGTCCCTTTGTCGTTTGCCCACTATGTTCTACAGCTTCTTTATTATTATACAGTAGCGATACATCACAATGGGCGAGTATTGGATTGCCATAGGAGGCTAACGTCGCCACCGGCCGCATTTCGCTTTCCACGTGATACGCAAGTGTCTGAAAGGTACATGAAGGCTTGTTGTTACAAAGCCAAGCAGTATGCCGGACTCGATGGGGAAACCCGTCACGTCCAAGTTACACAGTTATGCGGTGAGCCACACTAGATGTATAATTCTAGTCACACTAGGAAACCCGTGCTTTGACTTTGTTTTGGGACCTGAGTGAGCGTTGGCGTTTCGCTTGTTCACATGCGGGAAGCTTAGCACGCCACTTGGTTACAACAGTTAAAGCGCAACATGTATCGCATAGGGAACGGCGCCTTATTCCTACGTTGCTGCCCTTGATGCGTGTAGTGAGAGCAGTTTCGTTTTTGATTCAGTACCGAAAAGTGAAGCGAATTCAGGGGATTGCAAGATTAAGAATAGGAATGATGCTGTGACAACTTATGTAGCCATCTTCACGGTGCACCCGACGAACAAACAGCAGACACTTTATAGGCATTTTGTAAGGTGAGGGCCACCAGACGCGCATGAAGCGTTGCTAAACCGTGCAACCTAGAGTTGTTCGTAGAGCGCTGTCACACATGGCCGTAGATGGATACTACACATACTGTTTCATCTCCGATCTATCACTGCAGCGTACAATGCAGGAATGCGGTGACTATATTGTGGTGGAACCGCTGAATCCAATAGTAGAGACATTGTCTCCGTACTTAACAGGACCATAACCATGCGGGTGGTGCTGTCTGCAGGTATCCCGATAGCACAGTAGTTGAGCTACATTATAGCATGCCTTTCAACATGGAAATGACGGAATCGGGCTCGCCGAAGGACGTGACTCAATTATCCTTCGAAGAGGGTGGCTTCCTGCAGCATCAGCCAATCGAGTCAATTATTCCTTTCGAAGAATGGCGCTGCAGTCGGTTTGGCAACATGCGACCAGCTGTAATTATAGACTCTATGGAACAGGACACCAAGTGCGACCGTCCTCAGGGCGAATGCGGGGTAGCAGGCCTACCTGACAGTCCGCTTAACACGCCTGTCATTGAGAATCCGTAAGCTACTTTTTTCGAGACTGAGGAACAGTAACCGCGCTGAAAAAAAAAGTTCAGCTATTTTCTGAAGCTTGCAGAAAACGGTTCTGTGGCTCATTACGGACCCTCTAAGCTGGAACGGTTCATAATTCGTCTTTGATTCTATCGTAGTCCTACCAAAGGAACTACACACCGACTTGCTTATATTCCTGAGGTTTGGCGTGGGAGACTGTCAACCGCTATGGAGAAAGGAGCTTTAATTATTTATGTAAAGGACTCACAGCAAACGCATAATTGACACGAACACTGTTGCTCTAGTGGCAAAGAATTCATCCGATTTCAATCTCCAACACGTGACCATTGAAGAGATGCTTGAGGATTCCGTACGCAATATTGATTCCAGCGCAGGCATTCGCTGAAGTGGATATACCCCCACCGAGGCAGACTGTCTACTTTGGGAAATAAGCCGCTGGATACAATGGAACCACTTGCTTTTCAACCGGAATGCTACATTCTGTTTCCATTTGAAAAAGCTCGACTCTAAATCCCGTTAGTTGACATAGGTTTCCCTTGGAGGCTACTGCACTGCGAGCGCATCAGCAGTAGTACAGCAATGCACTTTGGCTTGCTCCGGCAGCCTGCGCTCTGCAGATGTTGAACGTCCAATACGCCACAGATAGATACCCTAATGGAAGTTTGGAAAGCCTCAGGGCATTTGCAGAAAGTAGGCGCTTTGTGGCGTTGGCAGCAAACAGTATCTTAATAGCCCTCCTGCATGGGAAAATAATAATGTAGGTCTTGGGATTTTATGTTTTTAAGTCACCAGATTCAGCACATTTTAATGCTGAAATGTTATGACATCCCTTTTCGTTCCTGTTCAACTGTTGGCATTCAGCTTCAAAACGCCCAATGCAGAGCCTTATACGCCCCCCTTCTTTGGCCACACGCTCTTGCGTTTAAATTCTTCAATGTGGGGGATTTTGAGTACCTAGTGCTCAGCGGAATCAGCATTATCCTCTACGGTTGTAGGCAGGGCCCGGACTGTAGCTCCGTCCCATGCATCCAGTCATCAAGCGAAACGTTTCTGCATTCAGAGTCACAATGAACTTGGGTCCAGCCCCTCTGTAAATGACTTTCCTAAAGTTTGGTTGAATAGCACTTCCTTCGTTGCTGCAAGCTGCACCCGCCGGACAGGACAGAAGAGTGTGCCAGTACCATACCCACTGATTGCCTATCATTCTGCCTTCAGGACTCACATGAATGTCTTAAATTCACCTGGCTTTCTTTTAAATCCGAAAATAAAGTTTGCCAGCAGAAAGTTCGCCAAAAAGGACGAAGGAATGCTGCGTTAAGACACATACTCAAGGGTAACGCTGGGGAGCAGCTATGAAGCACAGAGAGCTTTTAAAGCCATCCTGTAACCTGCAAAAAATCTCCAAATTACTCGACAGCCTAATTAAGCCTCCTGTTTCAGCGCATAGATCAACAGACAATTTCTTTCTTTAACTGCTGCTTGCCGTAGCGCATTCCAGTTTGTTCTAACCTACGCCGTCAAAATGTGCATAATGTGGTTAGCACCGTACAAATATGCTTAGTATTCACGCTGACGTACATTGGATTCGCCACAGCGTCAGTATTTTGTAAATTTGCCTTGCTCCAGGTTCGGGACAGTGGTGATTGACAATCTAACTCAAATGCCCGCCAGGATTGTAGAGCATACAAGTACAATAGCACAATAGGCTAACTATTGAGTGCTGTGGTGGCGCAAAGGCAGACGTTAGCACTGGCTCGGCATTCTACCTTCTATGACACTAAACCTCTAAACAATTCTTTTCTGAACAGCGTATTGCTTGGGAACCTCTTCTGCCTTGTGCCGCTAGTCTTACATGGCCGCAGCCAACAAAGATTCTTGGGATTTCAGGAGAATCTTCCACGAAAAAGTTAGTGAGGTTTGGCGCATGGGAGCCTCAACAGTAATGCCTTATCTTTTCCAAACTGGATTAGCTCTTACTCACGAGCTCAACCTTTTCTCAGGAATTGTTTGCTGTTTTGAATGGGCCTTAGGGTTTGAGTAGATTGTTCAGCATATCGAACGTTCATTTGGCCGCAGGATCCCTAGAAAGTGTGAGTCCCTCCTTCTGCCGAAGTTTCCGTAGCGCATTCCAGTTTGTTCTAACCTACGCCGTCAAAATGTGCATAATGTGGTTAGCACCGTACAAATATGCTTAGTATTCACGCTGACGTACATTGGATTCGCCACAGCGTCAGTATTTTGTAAATTTGCCTTGCTCCAGGTTCGGGACAGTGGTGATTGACAATCTAACTCAAATGCCTGCCAGGATTGTAGAGCATACAAGTACAATTGCACACAATCGCAATTGGTATTGCGACCATGAGGGGATGTATCTATTTATCTCGAAGCGCTTGACCAGCAGCATACTTTGTATTCGTCATTCTCAGTGTGTGTAATAATTTTGTACGTTTGCTCCTTTGAAGAAGTTCCTTCTTGTTTGGATTGGAGCTTTAGTACTTTTGTAACGCGCTATCGAGTGAGGCTTCAAGGCTCAGTTCAAGAAAGTAACCGAGCTATGTGAAATTTTGTAAGAAGTTTATGAAATGCTTAGGATGACTACGATTTGATTTCCAGTTATTGATACAGGATAAAACGCAATAACTTCATGGCTCAAAAGCCCAATGGACGCGGTAAGGTAAATATGTGCGAACACCCTAAGCAAAACTTCAAGCCCAATAACGTTTTAGGTGGACTGGATCATTTGAAAAAATTAACCAGAATATTAAGCAAGGAAATTAAAAGTCATAAAGGCTCTATGGAATACACCTGTGGACTGGGATGGCACAGGCTGTGATACAGCGGCAGGAGACGAAATAATACAGGACCTGTCTAAGGCATGATTCATAAATGCCAAGTTGTCTGTTACTAAAAGACGTCTATACGTGCGAAGATTAGGTGCTTCTCTACACAGAAAATGACGGAAAAGTCGAAGACAGAGTGAATTTGGAGTCCTAGGAAAACGGGAGCTTGCAGTGGCAATGGTACAGGCCGTGACTTAGACGGAGTAAACGCGTGAAAACTGCAAACTGGTCCTGACTATGAGCGTACGAACTAGTGCTAGCTTTTTTGGTAGAGAAAGCCCTCGTGCTGATGTAGCTTAAAAATCTCTGCCGTTGTGGACGTTCACTTTCTCCATTGCGACATTGCAGATTACAAGCAGGTTGCTGATGCAGCCGTATTCTTGTCACCAACAAGCATTGCTTAACCGCAGCACTTCTTCACAGAGGACAAAACCTAGTGATGCCACCGGAGGCCCACTTCGTTTAGCGGACGCCATGAAAGGGTCATGATGAAACTCTTGCGCGACTTATGCATGAAGATGGTTATCACATGGTCTCCCATGTCATTAGGCTGGCATCTATTCGAGCACTTGTTCGTAGAAACCTTGATCTACGCTGAAAAGCGTATTCACAATTTTCCGCTTGCGTGAGAAGCATCGTCATTGGCTTTAGCGTGATGCTCAAGAACTTCTCGAAGTGTGGGTCCTGAGAGCAGCAGTGAGGCAAGAGAAGACTCTCTGCCGTAGGATGTTGGGTGGCTCTTAACAGGCCTTGCTTTCCAGCCTTCTGTTTTCCCTGCACAGAGTCTCTCCACTGATTGCGGAGAAGAAAAGCGCTCCTTTTGCAAAGATTGGATTTTATGTGCATTCGTCTTGCTCCTTTGCCGTTTCTGCATGCTCCAGAACCTTTCATCTGCCTGCAGCTGATCACTTTTAATTGTCGGATCAAATAAGCCCTTCGTGAGAGCGCTCGAGGGGAGTACTCGAGTAATTTGGGTAGTGCTAGCGAGTTGCTTTGCAGAGTTTGAAAAAGATTTATGGTAACGACGATCCTTGTTACCGAATTGAGAGTGCACAATTGTCCAGTGAAGCGCTGGAATTCCTCGTGTCCTCTGCTGCAGGTTTATGGGTTCCCAGAATGATGTACAGGCCCCTCCAGCTGAAGCACTTCGATTTTTCGAATATTCCAGTAGTAACTTGTCTCTTGAATCATCCACTTTATATTTTCCCGTGGACGCGGTCTGCGCTAAAGGTGTACAGCGCCTGAATTCCATGGCATTACACTCTGAATCCTTTGTGCAGTGAAGACCGGTTAGAAAATCAAATTCAGTTCTGCCAAGAACGCGTTTCACCCAGCGTTGCCGGAATGCTCAGGATGCAAAGGACAGACAAATGTACAAATTCTGGAACAACGAGGCTAAAACATGTTTTTTACAGCGGCAGCAATTGCTCCATCTGTTCTCAAGCCAAGTCTTTAAGTGCAAGCATCTGAAACTTAAACAAAAGGTGACACGTGATTAGAGACAAAATGCATGAACTCTGCTTAGGACTTCCTTTTGCTGGCTATCTTTGAGCAGTACATTCGCATCCCATGAAAGTGCTTTTCATGGCGTTTCGCACAATATTATTCGGGAGATAGCGAATTTAAGGTGTGCCTGATAAATAAGAAAAGCTCGACAGGCAAATCCGCAGGGTTTCGGCTGTTGGCAGATCCCTCTCAGTTTCAAAGCACACTAAAAGGTTCCATCAGCTGCGGCAAGTACACAATTCATGTCCAATCTGATGCTGAACCGCAGTGTGCACGAAGAATCTCAGCGGTAAGAGCTTAGGATGGCCGGACAAGTTGAAAACATCTGCAAAAGACGATTTACACATACGACGAGAGCAAATGATGCTTGTGCTTGCTCACTCTGCAAGCTTGAAAAGCTAGAGAAAACTTGTTACTCCAGTCTCCAAGCTGGTGCCTCCTGGCTGGTTAGGGGGCCCGTGCACTACCCTTACCAGTTGCATGCAAACTATCGGGCTGTCAGTCCCACAACTTTCAATGCTCAATCTTTCAAATAAGTTTAAACATGCATAAGGTGACATGAAAGGACAATATTCCAGCTTGTGTGTTCCATACCCTCAGCGCATGCCGGCAGAAACACAGCCATTTTTATGGCCCTAGCGAGGATGAAGAGTGTTTAATTAGGACTATTTCGCAGACTTCACCCATCTGATGCTTTATAAAAAATATGTTTTATTCTGTACCTGGCCGTCGTATCCTCCCCGCCCGATAGGTAGGGATGCAGCGCGGTTCCAACTAAGCACGCATAGGCTAAGCAAGCGCAGGCACAAACCCACACTCCATCTCCCATTGTATCGCAGAAAAGCGGCATGCTTTGACGCTTCAAAGCTATCAAGGCAAGACGCATGCCTGCTGGCTCACGGTGCATTAAAGTGCCCCATCGCAAGACATTCAAAACCTGTGGGGCAAGATTCCGTATATGCAGCTGCAGTGTTTGCAAAGCTCACAAAACTATCGCATTTTCCTTTGGCATTCCAAGGAAGTGCAGCATTCTTTATCTTGAAAGTGATGGAATGCACTTGAAAACTGGACAGGTAGGGACTGACAGAAGCGTCTGCAAATTCACGGGGAACTACCATTTTAAGTGAATGGGAATGATGCCTACACAGAACGAAACTCGTGAAACAGTATAAAGTGAGCTCCCTTTCTCAGTGCTATTGCCTGAATATGTGGGTCCGCTGCTTTCTTTAACTCTTTCTTTGCTTGTCTTTGCTTACATGCTTCAAGCTTCACACAAACGACATTTTTGTATGCTGCAGTGAAACACAAGTCACGTCTTATGCCAGGCAAGTTGCCAGTGAACGTTTTTGGTCTCTACTAGGAGTCAGAAGTCTGATAGATATTGCAAGAAAGCAAATAATTTGCATATGGAGGGCTAAAGAAAAAAAGGATTGCCTTGGAACGACATCGCACCCAACAAAGATTAAAGACAGATTACTACTTGAAAGATCTCTGCACTCTGTATCTACAACATGCTGACAGAGTCCCGACGGTACAATCTAGCAAAGGGGCGTGGCCGAAAAAGACAATGAATTCTAGGATACTAAGTTTGCTTAGATGCGTCACGCCCCTCACTATGCAGAGTTGAGAAAGGCGAGACGAAAAAGCAAGATGTAGTTTGGCTGCTATGCATACACTGCCTGAGGCCTTCACTAGAGTGTCAACCTCTTAAGTGCAGGCTCAGGCAGGCTCTGTGAGTGAACTGCCGCTCTCGAAATTAACATTCTTTGTTTCGGAGTGGCCTTAAAATTCAGCGGGCTTCGCGGATAAGTTCTGCTAAACAGTAGACGTAAAAGAGGGGGCTGAATAGGAGCGTTGAGAGTCATTCACGTTGTGCTAGATTTTTAATAGGTGAAATGGTCTAGAGCATCTCTTTGGTTACATTAGTACTCTCTGCCTTTTCCGTATGGGTTGAGCCGGTAAGAGCAGCAGTGACAGTCTCCTCAACTACAAGCCGAGCAGCTACACGGAATTTATGGTCTTCGATTTGTTCATCTCGTCGCTGACACTGGCTTGAAAGCCGGGGCATGAGGAACCCTCTGACGAGCTCTTCTACAATTGTGTGACGCTCCTCGTGACGCTCTTCCAGATCGTCAACAACTCTATCCAAGTACTCCGAATGAAGATTGACCTCCAACAGTGCCTATATACCGCCAAACACATAAGCAACAGCAAGTGTTCCGCGCACTGTAGACTGTGCATATGTGAAGCTTCTCAAGCCCTCCACACCACGTGTGCATTGAGCTATTCTAGAGGTTCTTCAATGAGTGGCTCTCTTAGAACTTTGGTTTCTCACTTCTTCTTGTGCATTTGCAGCTCCCGCCTTCTCAATAATCGCTTGCAGGTAAGAGTCGATTGTTTGATTATGTATGCGGGTTGCATTGTGAAATGCCGCATTTTCTCTTTCGCGAAGCAGTTCCTCGGCTTGTCGAGTGCCTGCCTCCTGGGCTTCCCTCAAGCGCCTCTCCCGAATTGCCAAGTCGGCAAGAGCGGAAATCCGCCGCACCTCCTCCATGCGCCTCTGTTCCTTTGCTAGCCCGTCAAGCATCTGCACAACGCCCTCGTAGAACTCGATGCGCTCGGCCTTTGAGGCAGTACGAGCGAGCAGCTCACTCTGCCATTTTTCGTTTTTTATGAACTAGTGGAACAGCCAGAGTAGACTCACCTCTGCAACCGCTGCACCTTGAGCCGAAGCCATGAGGACCTCGGCCGCTTCCAGGGCAGTCTGATGTTCTATTACTTCTTGTTGCTGCCACGGAGGCACATCCTGTAGCTGTTCCGCAGCTCGAAGCATGTTGACAAGATCCAAACTTTTTTCTTTGCCTCTTAGCATCAAGTGGCGCCTGGTAGCTGCACGCAGCAACTGCTGCAGTAGTAGCACACCCAGCTCATCGCATTCTTCTTCTAACGGCACCTGAGGGACTCGAATTCACAGAAACGGTATCGGTGGTCATAGCTTTCACCTGGGTCGCTTCAGTGGCTCTGTGTAGGTGTTGACACTCTAGAGCATACAAGTGAAACGCTAGTACTAACGTTAAACTGTCCTCTCCGTATGAGCGTCGCTGTGTAGATCTACCTCCTGTACTCGCGGAGTTTCGGGTCTCATGCGGACAGCCCTTTTGAGAAGTCTGCGCGCCGCAACAGACCCCCCTTCTGACGCAGAATTTGTTGGAGGGGCCGCTGCTATATCAATCTGTAGCTGAAGAGAAGTCCCTGTCAGTAGCTCAGCTGCCACTTCTCTTTGAAGAATTGCAGTTGCTCGTTCAAGTGCCTACATCACAGCGGAAAAGGATGCCCAGCAATGACTTCAGGGTGTCAGATTTCTGGGAAGCATTTCCATAGACACCACCGTTCAAGAAAATTGTCGAAGCTACCAACACATTTCATCTTTATCACGTTTTGCCCGCCACAGATTCTTTTTATAAATGCAATTGAAAGGCAGCCTGCCTTGGAATGAGCCAAAACTTTGCGGCTCGTAGCATATGTCTTCCGTTGCCATAAGTAGGGCATTTTGCTAGGAGCCGAAAATGGCGTGCTCTTGCATAGCCGCCGCTCCATCATATCAAGCGCTAAAAAGTCCTTCAAAAATCACAAATTCAGAGACCTGGTGACGATATTGTGGCTCTTTTTTAAGAGAAGGGGAAAAGTTATTTTTTTGGGGATGCTTACTGTAGCATCATGGTGGTTGCAGCAGTTGTACCAATTAGTTACGCGCATTAGCTGAGTAAAAGAGAATGCTGCAAGCTAAACAGTGTCGACGCCGTGCCTCCGTGTATGCCAAGTGGTAGGCTGATAGCGATGTGAATGGGTCTGGAGGGCAGTAGCCGTCCCTTGCTGGCGGAACGACGAGTTGGAGGCTCGTTTTGCTTCGTAACTTGTTGGCAGCACAAGTTGACTTTGCCAGAGACTGACAAATTTGATTGCGTCTTCTCCAAAGGCGGCGTAATCCCTCAAGCCTCGAACGCTCGATGAGCAGACGCTTACGCTGCATACGCTCCTTCAGCATATTCTGTCGGTGCAGGTGGGCTGCTTCACTCTTTGCTTTCATCTTGGAAGCTCGCAGTTTTAAGGCATGTTCAATTAATTGGAGACGCTCTTCCTGAGCGGAGGAAACGCGTTCGTTTGCCGCAACGCTGAGGGTCATATTGTTTTTTGAATGGAAGTTAACTGTCTTGCTGGATATCATGCGCAGGACATCTTCTGCAGTAATATTCAATCTGCAAAGGGAAGCTGCCAGATGCTTTTTGTTCATTTTGTTAAGGTACTATGGCTTGCCTGCAGCTCTCGAATATCTCTTTCTCTTTGTGCCCACTTAAGAAATTCCTGGTTTTCCATTAAATTTATACGAATTGAGAGGCAAAATTCGTCTGTGGGAGGCGGCAAAACTTCATCTAACCGCCGCTGCACTTGCATCTCTTGAATGGCTCGGATTTCTCGAGATGTTGCGGGTAGCCCCCTTGACCAGGAAAAGTGAGCTATTGTAAGCTCCTCAGGGAGCTCCCCAGGAGAACAGGTATAGTCTGGGGTGTAGGGGTCAGTCTGCACATCTTGTTCCCTTGTTATAGATTGTAGCGCAATACTTTTAGCATCGCAAATTTCATGATCTGTTTTGCAGGAGCAACAAAGCCTTGAATAAAGATCCATATTTCGTTCACCAGGCCGTGCAACATGTGTCTTGAATATATTTTATTGAAAGTTACGACGCACAATAGCATGGCTAGAGAGATCGGCAGATGCAGCAGTTAGAATGCTAGCAGCTCAAACTTGCCAATGGTGAGTGCATCTCTGTCCCGTTCACTTGTTGCTGCGCCCTCCTGAAAGCAGCTATACTCTCCGTTGAAAGTAGGCAACTGGGGAAGGGCATTAAGGCAGCTGCTGTAAGATGTGGGCCTGTACCTAAAGAACTTAAACCTCCCCGCACCATTGACACTTTCAGATGCGTGTAAGAAGGCATTTCGTCTAACCATATCAAAACATTTGGCATCGGTGGCAAAGGGCCCTGTATCAGCAGAAATATCAGTTGCAACAAAGTCGCCAAAAGCCCAGGGGAAAGAAGACAGCTTTGTGGGAGCAGGCCGGAGTTGAAGCACTGCTTTGGTCTTCCCAATGTGCTGGGATGACGCGTCGTCCGCCCCCACGTCGTCCTTTTCTTCCAAAACGGGCATTCTAGCTAATGCAGTTTCGCATTTCATGATTTTATTAATGCGTTTAATCTTAGAAGCCGCATAATGATCGGGGCATACTACCTCTACGTCGTTACTTGCTCTACTGAGCACGTTGTTACTTGTTCTACTGAGCATCAATAACCCGCCTTCCGTTGCCAAAAGCTTACATTACGACGCCTGCAGCATTCAAATATATAATGTTCAGCGTTTAATAAATGGCACAAACTTTACGAAGGCAATACTAAACAAGGTAAGATGCCCAGGAGCCCTGCATGCACAGCCAATAAAAAGCCCTGTTTTTACTGTCCCAACGTTGGCACAGGTAACGCGTTAGACTCATTATGTTTGATGAGGAAGGTCAGCTACACATGCCCATATGAGACCGTATCCCCGACTCTTTAAATGCTAACTGTGCAAATGTTTATTGCGAACAATTGTGAATCAACGTGGGAGTTCACATCTGGATACCCACTAAAGCCAGATTGCCTGTGGTGCGTCTTACTAAGCTGGTCGGTACTTTCTCAACAAAAAAACACGCTTTCAGCTGCTGCGAACTCTGTTTTCTACTTAAAACGATAACGAGGATAAGCAAGTCTACTGTGAAATTTCTCAAATTTGTTTATGCTTAAAATTGAAAAGCCTTGGGATTAGAGTAGTGTGGCTATTGCTTTGCAAAACGCACACTACGCAAATCCCAAAGGTTTCCAGGTGCGTTGTGAGTTTGCAAAATGCACGTGAAGCATGCATTGCGTTCTATGTGCTTACGTCTTCACATTACATGACGTTGCAATTCTCTGCGAATGTGCGTTCGTGCGGGCAAAATGACTGATTTGCTAATGAAATACATGTAATGTCAGAGCCTGCAGTGCCAGCCGAAAGGCAACTGTGCGCTACTTAGCGTTTGAAGATCTCCAGTAATGTAAAAGTACTTCGATGCTAAAAAAATTTGAAAGTATATATTTGCACACTGAGTAGAAACGCGTACTCACCAGTATGGCTGAGAGAGTCATGGAAAACGCGATGTGGCAGCAGATGGCCGAAGTGAGGAGCTCCTGAACTTGCGCCGACCCTCAATAACATCAGGAATAAACCAAAAGCATTAAACGAGGATTTTTACTATAGTAGCTTTCACCCCTTTGTAGAGGCGATGCATTTCTTGGAATGACTTGCCGAAAAGAATTTAAAGAAGAAGCTGCATCTTCCCTTGCATAGAGAATTAAGCTGTGGGGACTCTTTTTCATCATTGTTTGCATTTCTTTTCGGCTTTGCTCTTGATTTCAGTAGCATAGGTTGTTTACGCATGTTCGAAGCACGCTTACACTTTCCTTCTATCGAGGGTAAACCGCCTCCGGAGCAGTCTGGCCGACACAATCTCATATAACAAAAGAAGAGCAGTCTCTCAATCTGTGCAGAAGATTGCCAGCTGCTAGCATCAGCTATTCAGTACATGTGGCAGGCGGAAGCGTTGCAACGAAAAGTGTTGAGGGGCCCCGATTGTGCACAGCCACAAGTGTTGAATCGGAATAATGTATGGCAGGACTGCGAGACACATTTACTATACAATATTTCCCAAGCTGTCGCGAGACCGCATCCGCATTATTTCTGAATTGTCTGTTTTTGTGTGGTTTTGTAAGCCTTGTTGCTAAAGTGGGTTTTTCTCGATAGTACTGTAATGACAATAAAATTCGATGCTTTGGAGCTGCAGATGTACTCTCCCAGATATCCCCAAACTGCTAGCCACTTATACTGCTTCTACTCTTCCTTATGCGAACTCTCAAAACATCTTCTTCTCGTATACAGATTTGTAGCGTAGACGCAAGCTGTTGTTTTTCAAAGGCGATGAGCTGCTGCATAACACTGCACAGCTACAATATCCCGTCTTTCTACCGATTTCTGAGAAATTCTCTGCAACTTGTGAATGGAGGTTGTTACTCAAAGAAAAAAAAGAGAGCCCTGTACAAGCAAAGTAGGTTGCAAGTACTGTGACATAGCTGCAAGGATTCGAAGGTACGACTTTGCAGGCTCTTGGCTTTCAGCGTTGCGTCTGTTACTAACTAGTAGTGAAAAAGCAAGCACATCTAGTACGACATATCACTTAAAGCAATGAAAGCATTGTATGTTGCACAGCAGCGATAATCCATAGGCAGTGCAGTATTTTCCAGTTCGAAATCTTCATGGTATCGAATGTCCGTTGGGAGAGGCTCCTGTATTAAAGCAGGAGCATGACATAAGAGGCTCTGCAGAGAGCCGAAACGCGTTAAATCAAGAGCGACAGCATTTCTTCGAGACAACACATGTACCTGTCTGGGGACGTGGCCTTTTGCCCACGGCGCTCATTGATCCGCAAAGATGGTTGTAAAGCTCACCTATGCCCGTGTAGTGCTAACTCTATAGATGGGTTGAGCAAGCAACTGTTTGGAATTTCCATAACCAAATTGCCATCGGGAATATTACGATCCCTTCGTTACTTGTGATTATCCGCACGTGTTTGGAAACCATGCTGTCCCTTTGTGAACTGTAGGATGCACACACAGTAGGGAAAAAGCGATAAAGTTATGTGTGAAAAGGCGAAAACAGCAGAAGCGCGTGACGGTCAACAGCCTACAGAATTAGGTGCAACGTGGTCTGAATGCGGAGTTCTGGCGTCCATTGAGTCGCCGCAAGGATTGTGATTGCCGGAAACAGTAAATTCGGAGCTAGGAATGAAGAAGCATTTGAAGTTTTATAGCACTATTGAAGGACAATGAATTTAAGAAGGAGGCCATCATACTACATGTCACGTCTACCGATGGAAACGCTATTACTCTCTGCAAGGTTTTCCGTCGCAAGCCGCTGCGGTAATTTAGGGGCGTATAGGGTGCGCGACCTTTTGGGAAATCTGCTCTCACAAGTTCCCAAGCTTTTGATTCTTCGTGAAAGACCTTCTCAACGCTTTTTGTTTCAGAAAGACACTGCTGGTCCAACACTGCCAAATGCCGTGCAAAAGCAGACTTTCAAGACTTGCCGCCTCTCTACGTCATATATGGTGCCATTTGCTCCAACGCTTTCATGATGTGGCTTGTTCGAACACATGCTTGGCCATCTTCCCACCGGCGTATGCGACATGTAACGAAAAGGAAGCTCTGCAGGCTTCTGTGACGGAAAATGCTACAAGACAAAAGCCACAATCTCTTCGACACAGAGGAGCCCTTGATGCTTCAAAATTTGCTACATCCGCTTCTGTGGACGGGGCCGGCGCCTCAAAGCGTTGGATATTCGAGCCAGAGTCGTTACTGCCTTTGCGCCTTTGCTAAAGGCCCCGAAACGGGTCGCAGGAGTCTTGCAAAGCATTCAAATCCGTTTCCTTGCGCAGCTTTTGTGAGCCAATCCTGGTATAGGGCTCGTAGACGCTAAGGCTATGCTGGCCATGACTGCTCAGCTCACTCTTTCACGCGCTACTTTGCGTGTCATTCTGACTTGAAGCAAGGATTTCCGTGAGTTTGCGTAGTTCGATGCTGAATGCAATGCCCATTGGCTTTTTAGGCACAGCAATCGACGCAACAACCTAATGTCGTGCATAATGGCATAATGGCATAAACAGTGAGCACTCACGAGCTGCTATTATGGTAGCAAATGTTCTGACGAAAAACTGAGAAGATACGTTAGCTTAAAAGCCACATGGGCGCAGCCAGCCCAGTTGTGATTCTTACAATGAAATTCGAGGTGGAGCTGCAAAACCAGTAAGGTTGGGGCTAAATCCCAAAGAACACGCAGCTCACGGAAGATATCAAAGGGAAGTTATCAAGTTTTAAGGCAGTTGTGGGCTTCAGAAGTACTCGTCTGCAAATACTTGCTCACCAAATAATGGATGAATTCGCGATCCAAACGCAGTTGCGCTTAGGATCCTCGTGCGCTCCATCTGTACCTCGACAACAGGGAGACGCCCGATGCTCGTCCACAGAGCGTGTAAACCGCAAGCACGAGTGGAACAGGATTTAAATATTGATCCATCACTAGCGTGTTCTCTAAGTACTTGAGAAGCTTCTAATGTACGCCTCGTGGGGCAAAAGCCGAACCCTAATCTATACAACATAAAGTAGGCACTCTGACGCAGCTTCGTAGCTGGTTCACCGTAGCTGTCGCACTTCTCTTAAAAGAACAGCAGCTTACAAAACAGCGCCTTTGCATTTACATTGGTTGAAGGCGATTGGACAAACTCATTGTAGAACAGCTGGCCTAGTAGAAGCCCCATCAACCGCATAGGCCACTCCCCTATATCTCATGCTATATTCATCACACACCAAGGGACGCATGAGTTACTTATTGGTTTGCGTCTCTCAAGATAATCATGTGAGAATTGTTCCATTGCCCCATTTGCTCAAGTCTGATGAAAACCTATACTCAAGGCCCTGTTCCGGAATGCCGGCGGAAGCACTGACGGAAAGGCATGAGGCCATCATCGGCTGTGTAAGCATTGTTAATCGAACGGCCTCTGCCTCTAGCAGCCCAGTAACAAATGCCCTCGTTGCGTGCTCAGTGCAGATCATCAACTGCTTCACTTCACGCTCTAGAACTTGCTGTACAATAGTATCATGCAGCATCCAGATGCCTATTATTTCGTCTTCAACATATTCACATGCTCCCCAATCTTTTTTTAGTCGTATTAAAGCCTTTTGAATGTCTTTTCGCTGCAGTAACGGTTCGTCCGTCAACTGTTCATCCCTCCTTGATCTTTGAAAATCCAAAATTCTCTCTTCTGCTCCGGAGATAAGGGCTGCTTTAGAACTTTGGTAGGGAGATTCTGATGCATTTCTCTTGGCGTTAAGGCGCCGGGGTATTTGGTTGACCTTTGGATATATTTGCAGAGCTTTGGCCCGCAGAACATGTGGTCCACCGCTACACTGTAGCTTCTCCTTGCATTTTTTGTTTTCGTGCAATGATGAGTTCTGCTGAGCTCCATCCAGAGAAAATTGATCTAGGATACTCTGCAGCGTTACTGCAGCCCGGCACTCAGCTTCTTGTAAACGCATGAAGCAACCCAGAATTTTACAAGATGACTGACTGCTATTTTCTATTCGTGCGCCATGTCGTCTTTGTTGAGAAACGCAACTGTCGGCCTGTTGCGACTGTGCTTCTTCGAAATGAAAACACTGATTGCACATTTCAACCCAGTTTACAGCATGAGCGGTAGAAAACGTTTGACTTTCTAGGCTTCCCAGCTGGTATTGGCATGCTGCGGCTGTTGTTGTCTGGCTTTCCTGGCATATCGGGCTGGCGCCGTGTCCTCTAGGTGCCTTCAGCTCCTGAAGGAGCAAGCACAGCTATTGATCACTGTACCTCTGAGTGCTTTTGGGGCACAATTGAGAAGCATTACTCTGGTGGCGCAGAATACTATCGTAACTGCTTGACGTACCTTTTCATCATACTTTACAGAGTGCTCAGCTTGTTGCATATGCAAATGCTCGTGAAGGCCCTTCATTGCACTAGCATTGGTTAAATCCCTCGCAACAACAGTACCTGAAGAGAGTTGCTGGATTCTCCTGAGTGATTTATCAGAAACATAGCAGGACTCAGTTTTCTGGTGATGCGAAGTTGCTTCACCACAAAGCGGCGTGGAAGGGCGCGAGTTTTCTTGTCGTGTTCCTGCATGCTGTTTCAAGGACTGACTGGATTGCACACTAGAGGCCGATGCTCCTCTTGAGATGTTCGCATATCCATTTATGTCTTTTTGCCGCAGCCTCTGTCGTACATGTTTAAGTAGCTGAAGCACTGTAACCTCGTGTAGAGCAGTTCCGTGATGCTGCTGAAGGAATGTCAGCAAACATTCTATCCCCTTTGCTGTGTCGTCAGGTGGACCGTTTCTCAAGGTCTCCGCAAGCTCAACAAGAACACCTTCTAGCCATAGCTGCTTTTCTGCAGGGCCAGTCTCAGTCATCGGCAGAAGAGTGTTCACCTTTATTGGCGATGCACCTGCAACAACTTTCTGTTTTAGAAAATCAATGTCTTGGATCGTAGCTTTAATAGCACTTTGGCTCCGACTCTTAAGCCGTTTGAGATTTTTCTCTTCATGGATTCGAGCAGCTTGGCCTAACGAAAGCTTCAGTGGACCCTCGAGAAAATCCTGCTGCGTTCTCACACTAACAACATTCTGTCGGGACAGAGTTTCTGTAAGATTTAAATTGCTTTTGGCAGAATGACTAGGAGCTTCGTCACCGGCGAGCCACAGGTGCAGCACCGGCGTTCTCAAAGGACCGGCCTGCTTCGTATGTACAGCCATCTGCTGGATATCTGGAGAATTTAAATGTTCTGAATCGATGCTGTTTGAAGCTTGTGTTCCTGGCTCTGCCTCCTTTTCTTCTGCACATGCTTGCTCTTTTGTCTGCATGACAAATTCTTGATCCTGCAGCTTTCGAAGATTTGTTGGCTGAACTTTTTGTCTTTTTTCTTTTCTGCATATATCCATATGCTTAGCAAGTTGGGACCGTGCTGCAATATCAAGAGTTTGCAACTGCAGGTAGTTTTTTGACAAGGGAACCTCAGAAGTAGAATGCGTACAGCTCTCTTTTAATGGAAGACCAGTTTCTTGGCATTTTTCCTCATGCGTTATAGCCTCACGGAACGTTGGTCCTGAAAGTAATAACTCGGCTAGAGACGCTTCCCGCTTCCAAACGCGCCCTTGTAATGAGAACTGTGTTTGATTTAACTTTTGGAAGTCTTGTGCGCCTGCCGAATTGCGCGAATGCGATGACAGAATAGTTCGTGACTCGGCCTCTCGTAGTGCAACAGGCAGCTCTTTGTGCTCTCGTAACTCTTTTCTTTGTTGTAAATCTCTTCTTCTTTCATCTGCTTCCAGCTGGTCTTTTTTAAATGTCGGATCGAAAAGGCCTTTGGAGAGGAACTTCACGCGGGAGGCTCCGCCGCAGTAAGAGCTTGCGGTAGCTGACCGCGACGCTGTCGAAAATGACTTTTTTCCACTTCGATCTCGGTTACCAAATGCTGAATGCACAGTTGTCCAGTGAAGTGCTGGAATTCCCTTTGTTTTACGCCGGCAAATTGTGGCTGCCCGCCCTGTGGCATTGCCGACATGGGCTTGCATGGTTGACGATGATGCAGAGCGTCTCAGTGGCTCGCTCTGCAGTGCTGCGCCACGCAGCGCTGAGACTGCCTCCCTTCGAGAGGAGAGTGGCATAATTCTGCATAAAAGTAAAAAGCGAAGAGGCCTTCTCAGGTAGCTACGCTTCACGTACAGTTGATCCAGACGTGTATTGGCGCGTTTTCTTGCGTACTGCAGATGCCGTAATGGTAGCCTGATTTGTGCTGGCAGAGTTTTGAGTAGACTACACGTAATTTACTTGTCAAGTCGAAACTGTATAATTTGCTGAAGTCGGGCCTGAAACATATGGGCATTTTGGAAGCTCCGCTCGTGCCGATGCTGACGTCATAAAACGATCAAGCAAATGAAGATATGTTGGCACTGGGGGAAAAACTCTTCACTATATCAGTGAAATGTGTTCAAGGGCTTTTGTGCTGCGGTGTTTTGGGGTCGCACCTGCTAATAGAGGAATTCGTATGTCGTCTGACAGGCACTTAGACTGCGGCACATTCGTAGAGCGGCACATGCACCCGCGCCTCTCCTCACTTGGAGCAAGAAAAAAGGCTAGCCTTTCGGTATAAGGAAGTCCTGAGTACCCATGAATATATAACCTCTGCAACTGCAACATTATATCGAGACGTACGGAGGCTTTAACAGAGTATGTGCATCAGCGGCATCCCAGCTCTCTCACTATCTTGGCTGCACAGCGCGGTGATGCAATACCATCTATGGTTCGCCTCATACATGCGACTGTAGACGGTCTAAAGTATATACAATTCTTGAGCACAGACTATGTTTGCCAGCTGGAGACTGTGTGCCGATTGTTCAGCCGTCAACTCCCTTGCTCCATAGTTTCCGGAACCGTAGAGCGAATCTCAGTGAAACTTTCGTCCATCATTTCTTCTAAAAAAACTGGTTAGCTCAGAACTTTTCAAACGACACCACCCTGGAAAATTTTGACAGTCCTTTGAAGGAGATGGCATAGACTATATAGTTGTGTTTGGGTGAATCCAGTTTCAGGTGCAAGGGCGAATAGGCTGTGTGGAGTTAACGACTGAAATCTACATTCAGTATAGGAAATATTAAGGGTGGTCAGTAGAGGGCACTTGAGAATTCATTTTCAAGTGTGGGATGGAGCTGCGCTCCGCTGAGTAGGCGCAGTCGGAGACACGCAAGTTGTAGTGCGTGGGCACTACAATTCTTCCCCCAGCGAGCCAATAGCGCCGTATTCCGTGGAGAGGACACGATATCCTCTAATGTTTGTATTAAAGCAAACCGAATAGTCAAGAAATTGAGCCGAGTGGCAATGAGCGCCCAAAGCCCACCGTAGTGTTGGGGCTTGCTGAGTAGTGAAGCCGTGGGGGGCCAGAGCGTCAGAGCCGCAGGAGATATCTTCTACTATGTTTTTTTCATGTTTCAGAGGACTTGAATATACTTTTGAGGCTAAATACGTAGAAATAAGGTGTTTCAAATGATTTAACGGGGCGAATGGCAGGGAAGCATACAGGTGTATACATAATGACAGCAGTCAGTCCACTAGCGTACTACACAAGCACTCGGGAATGAGTGGTACAGTCCACACTGCTTTTTTTCCGAGACAGATGGTTCACCTTTCTTTGTTTGTTATCTAGAAGTAATCTGTTAAAACATCGAAGAAGTGACGTAAACTCAGCTCACCAGAATTTGGTGTGTAAATTTACTGCAGATGGCGGTCTGACGCTGGAGCGAAGGTCTTCGCTGAACTATAGAGCGTTTCCATAAATCTTTGGTTTCTAGAAATATTGTTCCTGACATACGACAGACAAACCCTCCACTCAGAGCGAGTAGCGTCTCTGGAAAGAATAAAAGCTCGAGGAGGAAAATGCAGCAGGTATCACCTTAGCAAAAGTGGAACGCAGCAAGTAACATTTTTAGAGAGCTCCAAGGCAAAGAGCTGATGGCTGAGAGAGCTGAGAAGTAATTGTCAACAAAGAGCAGTAAATAGGCAAAAATTGAAAGCATCCAAAAGAAGGGCGAAAAGTACAAGGAATACAGGAAAACGGGAAAAGCAGGTTTATAGTCGACTATGCACAGGATGCGCATTTAGAAGTTCACGCAAGCCAGCAGCGTTCAGACTGGGAGCTACGTTAAGCCAAGACTAATGCAGCTTACTGCCCCTTAGTGAGCGAAACTGGTCGGCTTTGCGTTGCCCCTTACAGGCTTTTACAAGCATATATAGCTCAGTCGGTGAGTAACTGTGCACTTGTTTTTTCGTTTGTGCACGCTCCGATTTTGCGTGTAGTTCGCTGCATCCTGCGCTTTGCTAGAAAACCAGCGCTCACTCTTGAAGCTACACTAGCTTCAGAGCAGCAAAAGCGTACAGGACGATCAAAGCGGCATTTCGTTAGCCTACAGCCAGAAGTTCAAATGCAATGTGTGGCAAAAGGCCCGTGAACGCCTCC